TTTGGGGGGATCTGGATCAGGATCAGTGATCCAAGATCTGTCTGGATCATGGTGCATCAAAGAAACCGATGAATCCATAACCAGAGTGGATTCATCGGTTCCTTTGATGCACCATGATCCACACAGATCTTGGATCACTGATCCTGATCCAGATCATCCCAAAGGAATGCACCCTATGATAACAAAACATCATTACAAAATTAACAAGCAATTCATTTCAGACTTTTATATCTTAAAATTACTTGATAAAATACTATTTAATTTTTTTAACTTCTCTATTGTTATGTTCTTATCAATTAATTGAAAAGACTATTAAACACAAGTTTACTCTCTTATTGATTGTTGCTCTATAAATGGACCTTTTCTTTAGCATGTTTATACTTGTCCTACAAAGATCTAAAGACTGTGAATTTAAGAATAATTAATGACAACGTTTTTGTTTGATATGACAAGAGCATAGCAAGTTTCTACAAGTCTTTTTTACTGGACTTGTTCCTGCTCCAAGAAAAAAAGTCAACGCCCTGTACTTCTGGAGGCAGATACGTCTGATCAACAGGTTCGTCAAATGCAGGATTGTACTTGTACCCCGCACCATATCCTAAACTTTTCATCAGCTTAGTTGGAGCATTCCTGATATGTAAGGGCACTGCTGGCTGAGGACCCTCCCAGCCACTCACATACTTCTTAGCCTCACTGTATGCATTATATATCTCAATGGACTTTGGAGCTCTGGCAAGGTAGACTACAGCTTGGGCGAGGATCACCTGTTTAAAGGCAGAGATTATGTTTAGTTTTATTTTCTGTTATTTGCCATTTTATTATCTACAATAGACATGATATTTGGCATTGGATTTTTTATTGTTAAATGTTACTTTATTGCACCTGATTTTACCATGGAACTGTACTTCATCATTTATCAAATACCCATTAACAAAAGCTTACCCCAATCTCACATCCAGTACGTTTTTAGTGGCACCTCAGTAAGCAAACAACCAAGCAGCCAAAACATGGGCGTAAGATTAGTGGATAAGACCATAGAATGGAAATTGGTAGGGGTTTCATTAATGTTTTCACTGGTGGGCAAAACTTTTTAACTGAACTTCTTTCTAACAAAAATGGTTCTCTACATGAGCAAACCAGGTGGGCAAAATCATCATCACAGCTGGTCAATTTGCCCAGTGGCCGGCCCTTAATTTTTGTCGTCATGGCTATCCCTCTTTTAGGTCGAGGATGATAGTCTTAGTATTGATCAGCAGTGTGTCCACAGGTGGTTCATGAGTCCAATTTTTGCCCGAAAGGTTTGGCCCTTAATATTATGAAAACCCTGAATGGGGCATTCTTTTCCTGCTAACAATTATAAAAAATTACCAAACATTGCATGCATGTACTTACATCACACTCTGGCATTCCGATAAAATGGCAAGCTTGGTAAGCTGCGACAGCTTGGTTCAAGGCCTGTGGATCTGCCAAGCCTGAGAGGAGAAATATTAACAAGAAAGCAATTTGGAATCCCCTGCACAACCATCTTGCATGTCAGTAATGTACTGCAAAGGCTCCAAATAGTGAATACACAGCATAATATGGTGTGGAGATCCATTTGAATGGGACACCAATATAGACATGCTGTGGCAAAGTGGTTAGTACGTTGACTTCTGGCTAGGAATTAAAAGTCAGAAGGCCTGCTGGTGCTGGTGCTTATGTCTGGGGTCTGTCGCATGAAGCAACCACATGTAGTAATATCATTACTTTCCCTAGATTGGATGTCAACTAGTAAATCACATCCACAATGCAGATTTTTCTGTCAGGTTGCCTTTAGTTAGCAATTTGCCTGTCTCTGTTTACAATCCTGGGTGGAGACAGGTACAGTGAGAGTCAAGTGCCTGGATCATGTGTACTAAAGGCATCCATGAGTTGAGTTGAGTTGAGTGTCAATCAATACCCTCGATCGAGCCTTGATCAACACCCCATTGACATCTTGATTGATACTCAGTTGACACTAGATTGACAATTGATCAACTGTTGGTCGATAGTCGGCAGTGTCAATTGACTCATATGTATCAATTGACACTCAATGGCATGTCTGCGAAAATTAGTCAACTCTCAGCCGACTTTCGACACAGATGTCCACTGAGCGTTTACCAAGTATCGATGGAGATGTCAACTGAGTGTTAATCAAGATGTAGTTGGAGTGTCAATCAAGGGTATCAATTGACACTAGGACCACAAATGCCTTTAATACACATGATCCAAGTGTTTTGCCCAAGAACACAACATCCAGGCCCAAAACCAGACTTCTTGGGAGTACTATTGCAATATCCACAGCTACAGCACTGCCTACAAACTGTGTGTACTACAACTTAAATCAACCAAGCACATACCAATATCCTCACTGGCAAATCGCACCAGCCTACGAGCTACATAGAGTGGGTCTTCTCCTCCTACAAGCATTCTGGCAAGCCAGTACAGAGCAGCATTCTCATCACTCCCTCTTATTGACTTGTGTAGTGCAGAAATAATGTTGTAATGTTCTTCACCATTTCTATCGTAAAGCAAGTGTGTTTTTTGAAGGCCTTCTTTAATATGCGACACATTGACGCAAACAATCTGTTTCTCGTCACATCCTTGAGTATCAGCAGAGCTGAAGTCTAGTAGGTTACATTCTCCATTTTGTTGCAATGAAGATGGGCCGTTAAGTTCATTGTCGTGTCCCTTTGTTTTCTGTTTCACTGCAGCTACTTGTGATTGTATCGCAAGCTGAAGACCATTCAGAGCAATCCTGGCATCGCCGTCACACAGGTTTGCTAAAGTTGTAATAGCTTTCTCTTCAATGACAACAAGATGATCACTGATAAAAATAAAATAAAAAAAACACAGAGACATGGGTTACTGACAGAGCGTGAGGTCAAGATGGCTGGATATTGGCCTAGTTGTTTTTTGTGTGTTTATGGAACGAGAAGGAGTTGAAGTCCATAAACTAGCAAAAAAAGAACAAGGTCAATATTCAGCCATCTTCACCAAATAAGCTAATGGTCAATACAGGATATACGGTACTATATAGCAAAAAAGCACTATTTCTTGCGGGACACAACAGGTCATCTAACCCACTTGGGTAGCCAATCACAGTGCAAGATTTAGTTTATCTTGCCCGCTTGCAGAGCTAGCCATATAATAAGTTAGAATATTGCTTATGTCAAGAGAAAAGTGGTCTTTTTATACCTGTCCTTAGGTGCAAGATTTCTCTGCCTCTTATCTAGGGAATCCCCTTTACCAACTAACACTCCCATACTGTGCATGGCATTTCGCAGGATTTGCTCAACATGATCCACTGTAAGTTTCTCAAGCACTATGACTCTACAGCGGCTCAACAGAGCATTGTTAAGCTGGAAAGACGGGTTCTCTGTAGTTGCTCCTATCAATGTAATTGTTCCATTTTCAACATGTGGAAGAAAGGTGTCCTATAAAAACCAGAGCAGCAATGAGGTAATTTGTAGATTACTAATTAATGGGTAGAATGGGTAGTTAATGATGCTGTTTCGCTGTTATGAAGAAAGAAATCTGACCAATAAAGGGTGTACATTGGTTATCATGTTGCAATGTTCCAGACTGACAGTTTGTGGGAGAAAAAAAAATGGGCAAAAATCCTTACCCAAACTCTGTATCTCAGTCTTTGTGCCAATCCTATCCTTTATGCAGTGCCCAAATATGAACTGAATGCCTGCAGTAGGCTACCATAACAGCTGCCTGTCAGCTATCAGTTGATTGACAGTTGATTTACAGTACAGGGCAGGCTTACCTCCCAGGTGAAGGGGGGACTCATATAAAAAGGTGCTTGTCTGAAAATTTGTACAAAACCTCTAAACGAGACCCATCTAGGCATGGCTGGAGCTTTATTTGACCCAAAAAACTATGCCATCCTGCACTTGTTGTTTGAATTTTTTCTCACTTGATTGATCAAGATGGTATGTCTACTGTCTTTTTGTGACTGTCATGAATAAATGTTGCACTAACACAATCTACATAGTAGCAATATTTACCTGTTGAAGTTTATTGAATCTGTGTATCTCATCCACAAACAAAATTGTTTTGCGTTTAAACATTTGTAGTTCATTTCTTGCCACTTTCACTACCTCCTTGATATCACTTATGCCACTTGTGGTCGCTGACAGCGGTACAAATCGAGCTTTGTTACTGGCTTTGGCAGAGTTGGCTATAATGTGAGCCAGAGTGGTCTGAAATCATAGATAGCAACAGTTCGACATACAATATTAAAATGATGTTACCACATAAAGGAAACAAAATATTTGTCAAAATAGTATACCTCATGTCAGGCTAAACTCATTCAAAAACCATACCCTTTGGTGCTGTACCCATTGAAAAAACTCATAAAAAAGATACCCTGAGTTGCAAGGTTTTTGAAGAAGAGATTCAATGGAACTATCTTCATTAAAGAATAAGGAAGTCAGTTTTTCATAACACCAGAACAATTAACCAGTCTGTTTGCATTGACCTTAGTTCAAATAACTTATAATAAGGGACAGACCATTATGTTTTGAGGAGGGTGGGTGGGCAGTTTCCGAAAAAAATTCCGCCACAGCAAAAGTGACTGCAAAAAACTCGTGTCAGGAGAGCCATGGGGAAAAAAAAAAATGTAACAAGTGCTTTCTACTATTTAGGTCCTGTGTTTGACTTTAAAAATTTTATAGTGCAAGCTATTGCCCACCTAAAAGAATCATGCACAACCCAGGCGAGAAAAAGGTGAGAAAAAATTTCATGCTCCAGAAATTTTCCCCT